CCCCAACGATAACCCACCCTTTCATAAAACACCCCTGCAAAACCCTCCTCTTTATAACCCGCCCCCCTCGGATATCACTACACCTTCACCTTTTTGCAAAATTCCCCCTCAAAAATAAAAAAAATTTATAGATTTTATAAAATATTTTTATTGAAAATGAAGTATATTTTAGTTTAAAATTAATCCCAATTTTGATCATTAATTTTAAACGATTTTTTTCTAAAACTTGGAAAAAAGTTTCTAGATTTTAAAACCTGCAGGTTGGAAACCACCGTTTCTAAAATTTAGAAACTTTTTTCTAAAGCTAATCCACTTTTTTCTCCGTGTGAACCAAACCGAAAAATCGAGGAGAATCGTGTCGCTATCTACCTGAAGCAGGCAGAATTTCGGCGTGAATCACTCCGTTTTTCGGTTTGATTCAAGCCGATTTTTCGGTTTGATTCAAGTCAATTTTTCGGTTTGATTCAAACCGATTTCTCGGCTTGATTCAAATCAATGTCGGCTGGCCCCGTTTCTACTTGAAATAAACCACTTTTCGACTTATATCAGACCCGAAATTCGGATTGGCCTAGTCCGAGTCACTCGGTCCGAATTAAGCCGAAAATCAATTAGAACCAAACAGACGTCGACTTAAATCAGTACTTTTTTTTGTGATTTTAACGGATCCGAAAAAAATAACGTGCTAGCAGAACAATTTTTCTGAATTTTTGTTTTTCGTGTATCCAGATATGAATAGAATTCTACATGATTCTGACAGAATAATTTATTAATTGTTAATAAGGTTTGTTAACTATCGACGAGTGGTACGTTGATAGAAGAATGTAGTTACTGTTAACGAGACTTGAGGTATTTATGGCGGAGAGCCATGTAGGAGGCGAAACAGAGGGGAATCATCTCTCCCAGAGAGATGTTTTATTTGTCTAACTTGTCTTTTTGATAATTGAAAAATAATTAATATGGATAGAAAAAGTGACTACGTCGTGCCGTTCGAGGTACAAGTTGGCATCCCTGATTCACTCACCTATTATGGTCTCCCCATAGCGAAATGTATCATCACAACTCCATCCGTATTTGCCACGCTTACCCCTCCACGATTTCTAACCTCGACGTTGTCGCTATTCCAAGTTGCGCACGCAGATTTCCTATTTTTCATGAGTTTTTTAATTATCCCTTCTAAACAATTCTCCTATGCCACTTGGATTATTTTTTTTTATGTTCCTCTGTGAAAGCTCCACCCAAGTGCGAAATTTCAGAAAAATGGCGACTTTTTTTATATTCAATTCATTTCTGAATTTCTATAAAAGCCCGTGTTAAAATGTTTTTTTTTTTAAATTCCTGTGTTTCCACCATTCTCCTAGGCTATCTGGGATTTTGCGTAGGGCTATCTGGGGTTTCGAAAAAATCAAAGAGTGTATAAAAAAAAATCAATTTCTCAACTTTTTTTCGACCTCTCCGGACTACGCCATAAATATCTTAGCAGTTAAGAAGCCTCGGTAACCCCTCACACACGGGGTCGATACCACGTATCGAGCCATGAAAATGTAAATGGTTCTTTTAAAAATTGATTATTTCAAAAACTGTGGGAAGTAATTCAACCGAACAAATAAAAATGAGAAAAGGAATACTGTAGCCTTCATTACATGATGGTCCCATAATTATGCATTGATCAGAAGTCATCGCATCCTAGTTGTATCGAGAGTACGCCACACTTGGAAGCAAAAGGGCCCCGTCCGTGAAGGGTTACAGCAACTAAATCGTTCCACCGTTTCTATCAGTGTAGAATTGAATATCACCAAATGAGGGCTTCTTAATGGTTGATAAGTGATTTAGTTCATCGATAAAAGTTGAAATAAGAAAGTTCAATGAAATTTCAAGCGTTCGAGTACCGGGAAAACAAGAATTCCGTAACTGACGGAAAATTATAATTCCATAATATACACTGAGAAAAAAAATTGCTTTTGCCAAGTATATTTACCAACTACAAAAAAATTTACTTGAAATGTCTTATGCAAATATTTATATACATTTACTCGTGGCAAGTAAATATACTTGGCAAAAGCAATTTTTTTTCTCAGTGTATTCCTTTGATCTTTCAAAGGAATACACTGTACGGTATGATTGAACTGAAGTTCACAGTTTTCATTTATTACTACACAAAATTTTGAATTTTAAAATAATAGAAATCCTCAGTGGAAATATGATATCATGAACCAGATATTTCAGCCGAACATTTTCAAAAATGGACATTAAATTTTCACGCAATTTCAGACCTAAATGAGAAAAGAACGAAAAGAATGGCAAGAATGAAAAGAATGGCTCATGACCGGAGAGTTCCTTTACGGAAACGGTAGATCAGGCGAAGTTGGCGTCAAATAGTGATTTGAAGTGAGCGATAAATAGGGAGGGAAAAAAAGTTGAAAAACATCCTTACATCTTACATTAGAACATCATTAAAGGTGAAAAAGAACTCTCGGTTTTCTCCCAAAACCCTAAAGAAAGCCGAGACTCATCCCGAAAGTTAAAAAATAACTCTCGGTTTTGCTCCCAAGACCCTAAAGAAAACCTAGACTCATCCCTAAAGTTGAAAGAGAACTCTCGGTTTTCCCCCAAAACCCTAAAGAAAGCCTAGACTCATCCCGAAATTTAAAAAAGAACTCTCGGTTCTCTCGGCTTATTTTCTCGAAATAAATTTTTAAAGTTTTTTTACTTGTTTTTCAAATAAGAAAAGAATAAACATGGTATGATGAAAAAACTTTAAAACTAAATTTTATCTCGAGAAATTTCTATAGAAAATGTCCCAATAGAAAAAGTTGTATAGAAAAACCAATTTTCTATTGAATTTTTTCTACAAAATATTTCCAATAGAAACGGCAAAAAAATAATAGAATTTCCAATAGAAATTCAANATTAGAGATGAGTCTAGGTTTTCTTTAGGGTCTTGGGGGCAAAACCGAGTTATTTNATAGAAAAACCAATTTTCTATTGAATTTTTTCTACAAAATATTTCCAATAGAAACGGCAAAAAAATAATAGAATTTCCAATAGAAATTCAATAGAATTCCTTTGCGAATTTGCTTGGTTTTTTTATTAAATTTTTTTGTATGTGCATAGTTAATCCAGAGTCAACTCTGGGTGTATAGACAAAACCCGGAGAAAAGAGAGAGAAACTCTGGAAAATTCCTGGAAATTTGAGTCTAGGTAATCTCTGGGAAGTTGAGTCTGGGTTAACTCTGGGTTTGATCCATCAGGGTATTCTTCAGGTTCTCTGGGTTTTTCATCAGAAACATTCCATATAAATGTATAGAAAAAATCGATTGGTGTATCCAACTTATTTATAGAGATTTCTACACAAAAATTCCTCGTCGTTAATTTTCCAATTTTTCTTCAATTCATTTATCTATTTTTATCTAGCAGTGAAAAATAACCAAAATGTTCAGTGGATTGATTCAATCCGGAAAGTCGATTTGATTCGAGTACTGTGACTTGATCTAAGTAGGGAGATACTTGATTCAAGTAGGATAAATACTAGATTCAAGTGGGAAAATTACTCGAATCAGGTAGCAAATTCTCGAGTTTTCAGCGGAAAAAAAATTCGACTGAGTAAATGGAGCCTACAGAGGTTTGGTTATTGGAATAAATTTGGGAGCACTCCACGATGCTACAAAAAAATCAGGAACCCCGGAGAGGCCTGACGGACCAACCTGAGAGTTGGGATTCTAGGTTTTTCCCGTAAACCTAGAGTATGTCTCGGGATTTACTAGAGTTGGAATGAGCTCGTAGAGTTTTTCTATGTTTTCTCTGAGGTCTTGGGGGCAAAACCAAGAGTTCTTGTTCAACTTTAGGAATGGGTCTAGGCTTTCTTAGGGTCTTGGGGCAAAACCGAGTTATTTTTTAACTTTGGGGATGAGTCTAGGTTTTCTTTAGGGTCTTGGGGGCAAAATCGAGAGTTCTTTTTTAACTTTCGGGATGAGTCTAGGCTTTCTTTAGGGTTTTGGGGGAAAACCGAGAGGTCTTTTTCAACATTAGAGATGAGTCTAGGTTTTCTTTAGGGTCTTGGGGGCAAAATCGAGAGTTCTTTTTTAACTTTCGGGATGAGTCTAGGCTTTCTTTAGGGTTTTGGGGGAAAACCGAGAGGTCTTTTTCAACATTAGAGATGAGTCTAGGTTTTCTTTAGGGTCTTGGGGGCAAAACCGAGTTATTTTTCAACTTTCGGGCTGAGTCTAGGCTTTCTTTATGGTTTTGGGGGAAAACCGAGAGTTCTTTTTCAACTTTAGGGATGTTCTAATGTAAGATGTAAGGATGTTTTTCAACTTTCTTTCCCTCCCTATTTATCGCTCACTTCAAATCACTATTTGACGCCAACTTCGCCTGATCTACCGTTTCCGTAAAGGAACTCTCCGGCCTTACTCATGAGACACTATTGTAGAAAAGTAGAATAATTTTTACTAAAATTTTCTGTCGGTGTAGATGAATATCTCATGACTGAAAATGGCAAAGTTGGCTTATTTGATGCAGACTCAAGGTCTCCTCGACATCTCAGGAGCTACACCTCACAGTTACACACCTTCCTCGATGTAAAGCTGAGAAAACTCTTGAAGGAGGGCAATGCTACCTTGGGAGTCCCCATTATGGATCCACTCGACAAGCCGGAATTGGCTATTGAACTCGATGAGAAGAAGGCAAAGTGTGTGTTGTTTTGAATGATCGGGGGATCTTCTGATTGATTCGAAATTCTCATTGATTTATGTAATAATTATAGGGTCAATGTATCTATCAATAATCTGCACGTTGAGGGCCTTACTGATTACAAAGTGGATACGGCTAAGGTCAGTATCTTTCCGACGAAAATAACCGTCGGGCTCACGTTCCCGGAGATCAAGCCTAGTGGAAAATACTCGGTGAAAGGAGTGGTTATGGATGGTGTTAATGTCTATGGAGATGGAGAATTCCAGTGAGTGTATATTGACGGAGAAAGACAACTGGTTTTCAGATCCATGTGACTAATCCTCAGGAACATGTCACTGATTTTTAGGAATCAATCACCAATTATTGGTGATACTGGACACTGCCATAATATAAAAAAAAATATTTTTATCATTCCGGCCACAGGCGTCATAAGGCCGAATTGTATTATTCTAGCCAGGGTTCGGTCGTTCACTGAAAATCGGAGTTTTCTACAGTACATAGAATACTGGTAATTTACCACTAAATGGTGAAAAAAGTAAATAACTCGTAGAAAACCCCTTAATCCGACTATTGGCGCAGTAACTCTCGTGACTGAATTTCACGAGGATTGTACCTTGCGAGGGTCAAACGTCACGAGTGCCATACCTTGCGAGGGTCAAACGTCGGTCAAGCGTCAAACGTTATGAGGGTCGTATCTTACAAAGATCATGCCTCGTGAGGGTCAAACGTCGCAACGGTCATAACTCACGAGGGGCCAACGTTGCAAGATTCAGAGGTCGCAAAGGTTATACCTCGCGAAGATCATGTCTCCCGTTAGACCGTTGACGATTTTCCTTCCTGCTCCTTTTATTTGACCCTCTCAATCGTTGGACCATTGTGATTGTCTTTCCTGCCTCCCCGGTTGCCGCTTGTTGTCGTTTGACCTTTGAGATTGTCTCTGCCTACCTCTGCTGTCTAACCCTTACAGCGTTTGATCCTCGCGAGGTATAACCCTTGCGATGTTTGATCCTGACTGTAATGTTTGTAGATGAGGTAACAGGTATATTCATTAATAACTAGTTTATACTCCTTTGGATGATCATCGATTATATTTTATCTAACTTGAAAACACATGTATACACTTATAAGTACCAAGAGGGAGAGAGAGTGAATCTAAAAATGGAGTCAATAAAATAACATTCGATACGCTAGGTATCTCTAGCGTACACCACACTCCTCCAAACATAATCCTTTTGCTCAGTCATTACTTTTATAAAATCACACAGTCCAATTGCCTATAAGTTGAGTCTTTGTACTGGTCTTCTAATGCGACTTGAACGACGTAACTCGGGATCTCCAACTGGAGTAGGTGTTGGGGTTTTCGTGATGTCCCTGACCCTGGTGGAACTGCTTATAGTCTTCTCGGGTGGAAATGCACCTACTGGGTCGCTCGAATTAACACTGGGCTCACTATCACGTGAACTAGGCAATTCATTTGCAACTGCTTCCATAGGGCTGACTGCTTCGGGAACGTTGTCCAATAGGGATGAATGCTCAGTTGAACCTTCTCGCTCTGAAGGAACTAGATTCCTCTCTATTGATGTTCCGCTGTCCTCAGAATTCACTTGCAGTTTCTCCTGTAACAATGTGGGACGTAGTTGATCCACGTGTCTTTTCCATATTAACCTATTAGCTGTTCTGACGATGTACGTTACAGGAGAGTGTCTCTCAACCACTTCAGCTCTAATCCAAATATTTTTCAGATGATCTTTGGCCGTGACTACTTTACCAACATCAAACGAGCGTAGTCCCGATCCAGGAGCATGATATTTCTGTCTTGCTTGCTGTTGAACTACACGGTTACGTAAATTCGGTTTTAGAAGGTCAAGTCTCGCTCTCATTGGTCGTCCTGTCAGCAATTCGGCTGGCGTATATCCTGTGGTACAGTGTGGGGTACTTCGATAACTCATCAGCACCTGCGTTAGTGCTACATCCTCGTTGGTATTATTCTTCTGTAGCAACTTGAACTGCCTCTTGAATGTTTTTACTACATTCTCGGCTGCTCCGTTGGAGGCTGGATGATACGGGGCAGTCTTTACGTAGAGAATGCCATTTTTCTTCAGGAAGGATTCAAACTCTTCTGATACCAGGCTTGGTCCATTATCACTCACTAACACGTTCGGAAAACCCCATGTTGCGAAGTACTCACTCATCGCCAGGATTGTCCATCTCGATGTAATGTCTTTCATTGCTTTCACATCAATCCATTTGGAAAACAAATCGATTATCACCAGATACATTTTGTCTTTTATCTGAAGATAATCAATGTGAATCCTCTGATTGGGTCCCTCTGGCCATTTCCAGACGTTCAACTCAGATCTGGGTGGATTGGATGCGTTCTCCAAACACAACTGACAAGTTTTGGTGATTTTGTCGATATCACTGTCTATTCCCGGCCACCACACAAACGACCTAGCCATAGCTTTCATCCTTACAATGCCCATGTGTGTTACATGGAGCTCACTCAACACCATAGATCTTAATACAATTGGCACAACAACTCGCATTCCTAACATCAAACAATCATCTTCTACGTACAATTCATTCTGTCGTCTCTTAAAAATCTCGAATTCAGACTTAATCTCCTTGGGCCAACCATCTCTAACATACTTAATAACTTTCGATAATGTTTCATCTCTTTTTGTCTCAGTTCTGATCAATTCAATATCTAGTGTTGGTACCTCAGATTCAATAAAATTCAAATATGAAAAATCCAGATTCCTATCAGCTTTCTCCACCATTGGCTTTGGAGCACGTGACAAACAATCAGCGCCTACGTTATCAGTACCTTTAATATGCTCTAGAATGAAATCGTAAGATGCTAAAAATACTGCCCATCGTTGGACTCTGCCTGCTACCATGTTTGGTAGACTCCTATTTGGGTCAAAAATAAATTTGAGAGGCTTGTGATCCGTTTTTAACAAAAATTTCCTCCCCCACACATACTGGTGAAAACTTTTTACCCCAAAAACCAGTGCCAAGGCCTCTCTGTCCAATTGTGCATAATTTCTTTCAGCTACTGTTAATGACCTTGAATTGGAAGCTACTGGTCTGACAATATTATTTGGTAGTATGTGCGAAAGTACTGCTCCACCCCCAACTGGCGAAGCATCACATGTAATTTTGAGAGGTAACTTGGGATCATAGTGCATCAAAACCTCTGGAGATAGTAATTTTTCCTTAATCAAATCAAAAGCTACTTGACACTCTTCTGTCCAATTCCATCTTATCTCTTTTCTCAATAACTTGTACAATGGTGCTACTACTTGGGCATAATTATTAACAAATTTTGAATAATAATTCGTCATGCCAAGAAATCGTTTTAATTCAGTGGTATTCAGGGGTGTTTTAATGGCATTAATTGCCTCTACTTTGTCTTTGCAAACATGGATTCCATTCTTATCAATCTGAAATCCCAGGAATTTTATTTCTTCCTTAAAAAATTCACATTTTTCTAGTCTTGCTGTCATTCCAGCGTCTCTTAATTTCTCAAAAACTTCAATTAATGATTTGTCATGTTTCTCTGTTTGAACCAAAAATTAAAACGTCATCAAAAAAACAAATAACTCCCTGAATACCAAAAAAAAACTTTTTCCATCAATCTCTGAAATAACCCTGGTGCTGATGCCACACCAAAACATAAACGATTGTACACGTAGAGCCCTTTATGTGTCGAAATTGTAGTAAGTAGCTTTGATTTTTCCTCTAGTTCTACCTGTTGATAAGCGTGACTCAAATCTATCCTACTAAATACCTGTCCTTCACGAATTTTCGCTAACAAATCTGCAATTCGTGGGATTGGATGTCTGTCAATATCAATTTGCTTGTTTACAGTCACTTTATAATCTCCACACAACCTTACTTAACCATTGGGCTTCAATACTGGCACAATAGGCGTTGCCCATTCACCAGATTTTACCGGTTCAATTATTTTTTCATCAACTAATCTCTCAATTTCTTTCTCAATTTTCTCTACCATTGCATAAGGTACGACTCGTGGTCGAATAAAAATTGGCTTAGCATCCCCTTTGAGTTCTAATCTGAATTTGCCATGTTTGTAAAGCCCCAGCTTGTCAGTCAATACAGAAGAATACTTTTCTTTTAATTCTGTAACAGTCAAACTTACTTCATTAATAACATTATTAATCTCGACATTTCCTGCTGACTTTACTGACAAAATATCAAGTCTTCTGATCCATTTTCGACCCACAATTGATTTACTACTACCTGGCATGACAAATAACTCTAAATTTAATAATTTCTCCTCATAAGAAACATCAACATTCAAAATTCCTCGTGGAATCATTGGAGTACCAGCGTATGATCGAAATTTCCTATTTGTTTCACTCAATTGTAAATACGAGAATGTCTCATTGTCCTTGAACTCTTTCTCTGAAATGGCAGATACCGGTGAACCTGTGTCAAGTTCGAACGTAACTTGTTTACCTTCGACTAACAAATCAATTTTAATTGGGCTTGTGTAAAAAATTTTTCTCTCATTCGCATTCAATTCATCCCTCTCATCAATCGTATAAAAATTATTGAATTGCTCATCTAGCTCCACAATCTCATCAACATAATTCTGGTTTACACTTTTCTCTTTTCCTTTAACATTTTCAAATCTTATATTGCTAGACCTCTTATGCCTAAAATCACTATGTTTCTTGTCACTTTGATAGTCTTTCTTGTTGTTGTCATTATTGTCTCTATTCTTATTATCATTAAATCGACAAATTGAGGCTAAATGCCCAACTCTTTTACAACAATTACAGGCATAATTTTTGTGGACCCCATCCGTCCACAACATGAACACGGCTTCTTTTCCTCTTGATTTCTCTTCCCATAATGTTTTTGACTTTTAACGAAATTCACTGATTCACTTTGTTTTGGAGTGTCCATTTCTCCAGTATCCTTGGCTGCTGCCTCATCACTTAAAGCAATTTCTACTGCGCGCTCATACGTCAAATTTTTCTCACACAACAATTTCTGTTTTGTCCTTTTGTTTTTTAGCCCGCACACGAACCGATCCCTAATTAAATCATCTAATGCACTACCAAATTCACAATGTGTTGACAATTTTTTAAGTTCCGCTAGGTAATCTCTCACTGACTGTCCCTCTGTTCACAATTATTGAACTTAAAACGTTAAGTTATTACACTCGGCTTAGGCTTCAGATGGTTATTCATTAATTCCATTAATTCTTCTAATGACTTTTCTTTTGGAATTACTGGAGCACATAAATTGGAGAGTAAAGCATAACCCTCAGCTCCCAAAATGCTTAAGAATAATTCCTTGTGTTTATTACTTGCCACTGAATTTGTTGCAGTATAGTGTTCCAGTCTCTGTAACCACTGCGACCAGTCAGTTTTGCGATCGTATGGTTCGATCGTTCCCAACGCTGTTACCATCTGCTTACTTCCAATAATCGTTACATGTTCCTGGAGTCTTCTAACTTCGGTGGAGTGCTGCTGTACCAGGGCTTCCAGCTCCATGATATGATCGTCTTTGCTCATGATTTCGGTTCGGGCAGTTTCTCTACATTTGTGTAGCTCGGCCTGTAGCCTCGCTATTTCCTGTTGGAGCGCGTCAGCCATTTTTCGGTTACCATTCTAACCCAGTCATGCACACTTTATACTTTTACTCATTGCTCTCACAATTCTTTTCAAATTACAAAACTTTTATCCTCGTCGCCACTTGTAATGTTTGTAGATGAGGTAGGAGGTATATTGATTAATAACTAGTTTATACTCCTTTGGATGATCATCGATTATATTTTATCTAACTTAAAAACACATGTATACACTTATAAGTACCAAGAGGAAGAGAGAGTGAATCTAAAAATGGAGTCAATAAAATAACATTCGATACGCTAGGTGTCTCTAGCGTACACCACACTGACGACGTATGACCATCGAGGGGCTGTTCACTCCTCAATGGGATGGTTTAGTAATTTCCCAAATGGGATGATTTCCTGTGATTTCTTGAATGATTTTTGTGATTTCGTAATCAGAATTGGAAATCATGATTTCTTTTAATTTTACATGATTTCCATGATTTCTAGTAAATTTAATGATTTCATGATTTCAAGAAATCACTCGAAAGATCATGATTTCGGGGCCAAAGTGGGGCACCTACCGATAGTCGTGTATGGGTAAGATTTGGGGAACCAAAGAGTTTAGACGAGCTTTATGGATGTAATAGTAAGAATCAAATGACATGTGCATAAGAAGGTCATGCGGGTCAGACGGGCCGTATGAGTGAGCTCGAATAAAAAATTTGGGTTTCACTTTCATTGATGATTTCTAATGATTTCTGAAAGCACCTGAATTCCTAGGATTTCTATTGATTTCCCACGATTTCCAGAAGTCATTAGAAACCACTACCAAAAATGGAAATCGCTTGATTTCCAGTGGTTTTTGGTGATTTCTTCCTTGTTTTCCAATCGTGTGGACCAGTGATTTCCTAAGTGACCAACCCCTCGATGACCATTGCGATGTTTCACTTTTGTGAGGCATGACTCTTGCAACGCAGTTACTGGGTTGTTCTCGCGCCAAATTAAGCAACTGCGTTGTTCTTAATCACGCGTACACGCGGTCAAAAACTTCTCAAATCTCCTTGGTAAATTACTAGTTTTTTCTCATGTACAAAACTTGATAAAATACAGGTGGTACTTGCTTAACCCTAAGTTTAGCTCATATGATTGCATCCCTCGCCTTCTACTCGAGCTGTAAACTGATGTTCGGCAGAAAAATTTTGGTTCGGTCTAGTGACACAAAATACTATCTCTCGATGTATGTTGAGTGAAGAACATTGCATACAGATTCGATCAATTGATGGGAGCCTCGGCTTCGCCTCGGGCAGTAATCCACACGCGGGTTGGAATTTCCTGTTTTCCTCTCTTGGTGCACAATCTACTATTCCGTCCCGGCGGGCGCACAGTTACATTTCCTAACTCTAACTTTGCGCCTACGCCAAGACGGAAAATCGCGTTCTAACCACGGGAAGTAAAATAAAGGACCCTCAGCCGCCAGTGCAATTACCAGCCGAGCCTTCGGGCTCCGAGCTGATGTTCCTTTATTTTCCCTCCCTAGGTTAGAAATATACTATTCTTTTCTCTGTGTTGTTTTAAAAATACGTTTACACGGGAAAAAAACTAACATGTTGTTTAAAAAATTCGCTAACTCATCTGTTCTCAACTTACTTTATATTTTATCAGAGGAAAATTACAATCTAAGAATTTCTTCTTCCAGAGTAAATATTAAAAACTTCTCAGTCCAGACAGTAGTCGCTGTAAGTCTCGAAAACGGAATCAAAGTCAAGTCAATTAAACTTGAAATCTCCCTGGGAGGTCTCGAGGTGAGTAGCGAAATCCGTTACAACTTCCATGTCGTCCACAATGTATTTGAAACTTAATTCGAGATATTTCCTCATCAGCTCAAAGCCACTGGAATTTTCAACGACGAGAACACCTCTATCCTTCTCAGTGAAATCATCTCGGACATGGCACCACAACTGATTTCGGACTACCATGACGAGATAACTACTAATGTTTCTGCATTTCTCGTTGAGATTGCCAATGTTTTTCTTAATGGAAAACATATCAGTGATATCACCGCAATCCTCGGTTGATTAATTTGATCGCTAGTACTTAATACAATTTTGTACAAAATAATACTTATATTCATTTTTTGTATGTATATTATCTCGGATTTCCGATGTTATTACCCATCCCTAATATACTGGCAGAGCGGAGGGCCATTTAATAGCAATCATAACAAACTACTTTTCACTGAGAAAAAAAAATTATTTTTGCTAAATATTCATTTACTTGAGAGAAGTATTTAGTTTTTCAAAATCGTATTTTTCCAATTGAGAGATTCCCAGGCGAGCCTGATTAGGTTTCCATTATAACAATCATGTTGCTCTAGAGGATGACTATGCTGCACATGGCCTTGGATGAACTCCTTCAATGATTAATCATTTTTCCAAAATTTCTTATCTTCTTGAGGAAAGAATTTTCATTAATTTTTCAACATTGATAATTATTGAAGAAGTTCACTCAAATTCATAACTAACATGATCATCTTCTAGAGCACTATAATTGTCATAATTGAAATCTAATGAGGATTGCCTAGGAATGACTCAACTGGATGAATACTTCGTTCGACCAAATGGTGCTGATTTATTTACTTTTTCAAAACTGAAACGCAGTAGAAATATTATATCTGATATTAATGGAAAAAAAAATCTATTATTTCAATGGAATAAAATAATCTATTATTTCAGTAGCGAAGCGGTAAAAAAGTCCAAGTCTATTTTGGATACTGGCCAGTTTCAATGAATATCTCAAAATCTAAGGGAGGTATCGAAATTTTTGTCACCTTTTTTGCGGTCCTCAATTGGCTTCACAAAAAAGATCATTACGAAAATTTCGTTATCTCCCTTAGATGCGAGACATATTCCTCGAAAACTCAGCTAAGGGCTAAATTGACTTGAACCGAAACTGTTTTTTTTTTTTGGCTATCAAAGATGACCAATCTTCACCACTCTCTGCTATATAACGTTCAAAAAAAATAGAAGAATTAATGGTGCACAAAAAGTTGAAATTCCATTCCACAAAATCTTTCTATATTATAAACATCCAAATCGACTTCAGGTGATAAAAATTTGGTACTCGAAATTAAGACTCCGAAATTAAGGGTCACAAGGGTCAAATTAGGGGTCAGAATTAGAGGGCAAATAAGGGCCACAAAGGGCAGATTAAGGGTTATGTGGGTCAGATTAAGGATCCAAATGAGGGTCACAAGAGTCAGATTAAGGATCACAAAAGTCAAATTAAGGGTCAAAATAAAGCTCTGAATATCTCTCTATATTGTAAAAATCCAAATCGACTTCTGATGATGAAAATTTGGTGCTCGACCTTAAGGGTCAGAAATGAAGGATCAAAATAAGGCTTGCGAGGGGTACAACGAGGGTCACAAGGGTCAGAATAAGGTCGTGGAGGTCATATGGTGGTTGGCGAGCTGAGCGAGCAGGGGACAAAGGAAAAGGTTCGATTTTCTGGAATATGTCCCTGATTTTTAGGAATTTATCCAATCCATCATGCAATGAGGATAGCGACATGAGAAACTCAACGTTAGGCGATATTACTGAGAACACCAAATCGCCAAAGTGATTCTTATATTTCTTCTGATTATTTTTATGAATAAAGGGTTTTTATTTGTAAAATATGTAATAATTGAACAGTCATTCAGAAAAAACAGTGTAAAATTCTGAAATTCAGTTTTTTGGTCTGCGATTTTTAGTGGTATTGTCACCAACCATCAGAGTATCACTTCCCGAGTGGAAATTGCTTCAGGCTCATCTGAAACATGATCAGAACTTCATCAAGTTTTTGTACGGTTCGACTGATCCGGTGTTTCCTGATGAGAAGCTGACTAAACTCTGATCCAGCAGATCGGATCCGAAAAACTGCAAGATGATTCAGACCAAGTTCTGATCAGGTAGGTACGATCTCACCCTGAGGTCGGCTGCCTGCCCCCAATTTGATCAAATTCAGATTTGACGTCTTTGATCGGCATTTGAACGGGGTCAATTGAAGAGAAAATGATCAGATTCTGATCCGGTCCACCTGACATTAATTTTACTAAGTTTTTCAGATAATTTAATTAACTATTATTATACCATTCAAAGTAAGTTTCATCAACCATTATCAATATATATTTTCAATCTTTAAAAACATCATTGTACTATAATTAAAATAAATTAAATTAATTTAATTTAATGAATTTAATTTAATTAATCAATTGAATTAACAGCCCGCCCTTCTCAAATGTACAGAAGGGAGGGATGATAATGCCGTAAATACGTATTAGAGGAGTATCAAACTTAGACGCAAATGATCTTGAGAAAAAAATCACCAAATGTCTATTTAGTTATTAGTGTTACTGTCATTATCATTATTACTATTCATTAATGAAATAAATAAAAATTTAATTGAGCATATTTTATCTCTGAGAATACACACGCACATCCGCGAGATTAGAAATAATCGTAAATTCAACGAATATCCCGAAACAAATCATATAGGCAATGTACAGTTTACTCAATAGTAATAGCGCGACAGTGTAGTGGTTAGGGCATAATCATAGGGTCCCCGGTTCGATCCCCAGCATCGGTAAAACAATAATAAGCTTTTTCAGAGGTAATAACAGTATAGATTCATTAAGAGAGGCGGCCTACGATGAAAGAATTGAATTATCTTTTGTTTTGGATTAGTTATCATTGATAATTATTATTGACACAGACAGACAGGTCATCCGGTTTTCATAGAGTTGACTTGATCAAGTTCGGATCCATTCGTCCTGATCAAATCCGGATTGGTCAGAGGCGTAACATGCCTGATCAAGACCGGATCCGTCAACTTGATCAATACCTGATCAGTGGTCAGGTCTAACCTGATCCAAACTTGATCAAGACCTGACCGGAATTTCCACTCGGGTTATTTTCAAAGTAATATGACGTTTGAGGGTTTTGTAGGGGGTTATTCAGACAACCCAAACCTATGGTAAATCCTCGGGTCGCTAAGTTGACCGTTCTGCTTCCGGCTAACTCGTGCGATTAGAGCCTAACGGGAGTCCGTTCCCAATTGGGATGTTTTTATGGGAAAAGGTCCATAAATGATCACTTCCGTTAATTAATAATTAGTGATATGATGGTCCGAAAACTGTTTAATGTCTACAAGAAAGTGGGATAGAAGGGGTTCAGTGTACACATAATTACCCGAGTGGAAATTCCGGTCAGGTCTTGATCAAGTTTGGATCAGGTTAGACCTGACCACTGATCAGGTATTGATCAAGTTGACGAATGCGGTCTTGATCAGATATGTTACGCCTCTGACCAATCCGGATTTGGTCAGGACGAATGGATCCGAACTTGATCAAGTCAACTGTATGAAAACCGGATGACTTGTCTGTCAGTATCAATAACAATTATCAATGATAATTAATTCAAAACAAAAGATAATTCAATTCTTGAATTCCAAAATCCACCGCAGGCCGCCTCTCTTAATGAATCTCTACTGTTATTGTACGGTCAAATGAACTTACCTGTCAGTGAAGCTCGATCGTGATTATATAAAGAGCCTCGTCGAGAGATTTTAATAACTTGCAGCCGCCCGCCTGCGGCTAGGTGAACACGCCTTCAGAGACCATAGAAAAAGTTGGCTGTGGCACCTCGGCGGTGAGGGCTCGCCATCTTATCATTAGTTTAAAGTTAAGCAATAGTGTAGAAAAAATTGGACGGGTTTGGGAAAGCTAGTTGGGCGGGACTGAATCTCTCAACGAGGCTCTTTATATAATCACGATCAAACTCCACTTACAGGTAAGTTCGTTTGATCGTACAATTATATTCGCGCCTCGTCTTCGAGATTTTAATAACTTGTAGATGTTCAGAGATCATCCAATTTTTTCTTTTTGTTTTGTTTTTTTTTTTTTTTTAGTAAACCCCAGCTTTAATATGAATATGAATATTGAACAATTTAAAGATGAATATTAATGGACAAAAAAAATGGTTATTGACTAAACCATATTCAATAGAACTTTGACAAAAAAGCTTTGATCAACGACAATTATAGAAATGTACAAATCGTACTTCTAAACCTTTCGAGACTTACTCGTTTTCTCACAGCAGCTAATGTTGCTGTATACTTAGTAATGTAAGTTGAGAATCAGCTATAGGACAATATAATCCGTTAGGCCAGTGTTTATGGAGATTCGCAGCTATAAAACTCTCTGAATGTAACGAACAGTATAGAGCGGTTGATTAGATTATGGAAAAGTGGAATAATAACTCTGTGATTTAATTTAACTTCGATTCTTTATTCAGTCGCACGCAGAAGACGCATCTCGATCTTTACTCTAACTCCGGCTATCGGAGACTACTTCAGAAAAACTAAAGACCAGTACACTGGACCTCTTAAGGAACTTCCGCAGTAAGTATACTTGGTGAAAATTTCGAAATGGTATAAAGACGCAATATTTGGATCATATGTTGTTGAGCACATTCAAAAACTATTCCCAAAATTTCAAGTACCTTGTCCACCCCATTTTCGAGATATACATCGTCAAAAATGGAAAAAAGACAAAAATTGAATGTTTGGCGATGCACATCTCAAAAATGGGGTGGACCAGGGACTTGAAATTTTGGGAATATCTATTTAATGTGGTCAACAACATATGATCCAAATATTGCGTCTTTATACCATTTCGAAATTTTCACCAAGTATACTTACTGCGGAAGCACCTTAAAACGCACTTCCTCTTTGTCTTTTGTCTTATGTTTTGTTTAGAATATTCGTAGTCGCCCGCCATGTGGTCGTCACTTAACATAAACACAATTTTACGAACCTTAGTTTGGAGAATTTTATGGACTGACACTGAAATGTGTCAAGCTGTGTAGAGATTGATTTTTGAACACCATTTCATTTCATGAAATCCAACACGCCCCCTCAAAAATTAATCGGTTACACTAAAAACTTGATATACTTCACTTTCTTAATTAACTTAATTAATTCCATTTTGAGATGCATCCTCTTTGTGTTTTCTGGAAAATACATATGGCCCAGCATTCGTTGCAAGGGACTATAGGGAAACCCAAAAAAACCTATCCAGACTATTTCCTTTGATATACATCATAT